GGCTGGATGTGTTCCATGAATTAAGGGAGAATGAAACGGTTTCAAACCTCCATCAAGACATGATGCACTTTCCGAAGAAAATCTTCATTTTTCTCATAGTCGGGGATGAGCTCGGAGGGAAGGTCTGAGCGGTGGCCCAACTGAAAAGGAAGGAAGGTCAGCTGTCGTTTTCAACCGCTGGTTGAGATTGTCTGCCACCAATTCCCTCAACTGCCCTACACACATGGCCTGGGCAGCTGGCAAGGAAGGAAATATAAAAAGATGCCCACGTTTGAAAATGCAAGGCATGGGGTGTAGAACCCCCAGCTTCCTAGAGGAAGAAGGAAGCACTGGATTGCTGTTTTCTCTGCCTTTCTCCTTCGGCACCCCAATAACTGCCCAGGACTTACACTTTCGGCCGCTCCCACCAGAGCTCCCCATTCAATTTTGGGCACCATCCGCGCTGTGAACTCTGGGTTGAAATCAATATCGTTCACCTTCACCTCTGTAGCCTGTGGGCAGAAAAGAGATTAATCAATTAACATGAATGTTAATATTCTATTTGTAAGAAAAGAAATGACATGTAAAATTTGATTGACAACACTGACAACAATAACATTGAAATATTGAATAAGATAATGAAAGATTGTAACTTAATAAAAACAACTGTACTATTAGAATTATACAAATGTCAAAGGTAAATATGATGAATATTACATTATTTGTAATAAATAAGTTGTAAAATGTGATTAGAAAGGGGATATTTTAAAAAAATACAATAGTGGCATAATTAAAAATCAGAAAGGGATAAATAATGGAAGATTGTAACTTAATAAAAATGGGTGAATTATTATTAGAATTACGTAAGTTTGTTAAACACTACAAATATGATTAATAATATTTTATTCGCAGGTAAAAGAGGGATATTTAGAATATGGAGATTGACACAAAAATAAGACATTGAAATGGTGAATAACCAAGAGTGAAAGATTATAATTTAACAAAATATGTGTATTAATATTAAATTTTGTAAGATTGTCAACTGTATTAAATATGAAGAATAGTGTCCTATTTGTTTTAAAATGTAAGGCACTCTGGTGCCACACTGTTCACACAATGATATGTTTGTAAAAATAAGAAAAAATTATAAAAAGAAAAGAAAAAGTTCAATCTCAGGAAACCCTTAAAACAAGGATTATGTTGCAATAAGCAGGCTGCAATGTTTATTCTCCTCCTCCGTAGGCAGCAGAATAACCCGCAAACCTTCACACTTTGGGGTTGGCTACCTTGGGTACCCTCGTCTCCTAGTTGTTTCTGCCTGTCCGGTTTTTTTTGTTGGGGGGGGGGGGGGGTTCCCATCAACCAAGGAATGTTATCAGCTGGTGGGCACCAGGAGATGTGTGCTCCGCCATGACTCCCCCACCTCTGGAATACTTTATTTTTTATTTTGATTTATTTTGATTTGTCAATCGCTTACAAGATAATAGGTATAAGTATATACATAGTTATGAATACATGAAATGGGTACATATAATGCAGGCACCCCTTGACTTTATGATCACAATTGAGAATAGAATTCTTTATTGGCCAAGTGTGGTTGGACACACAAGGAATTTGTCTTCGGTGCAAATGCTCTCAGTGTACATAAGAGAAAAAAATAAATATATTTGTCAAGAATCATAAAAAAAAAGAGAAATAGAAGAGAAGAGAGAATAGGAATAGAATAGAATAGAATAGAATAGAATAGAATAGAATTCTTTATTGGCCAAGTGTGGTTGGACACACAAGGAATTTGTCTTTGGTGCAAATGCTCTCAGTGTACATAAAAGAAAAAAGACATTCATCAAGAGTCAAGAATCATCAGGCACAACACTTAATCATAGTCATAGGGTACAATAAGCAATCAAATCATACTAGGAAACAGTCAGTATAAATCGTAAGGATACAAGTGACAAAGTTACAATCATACAGTCACAAGTGGGAGGGGATGGGAGATAAGGAGTGATGAGAAGATTAATAGTAGTGCAGACTTTGTAAATAGTCGGACAGTATTGAGGGAATTATTTGTTTAGCAGAGTGATGGCGTTGGGGGGGAAAACTCCCCTTGAGTCTAGTTGTTCTGGTGTGCAGGGCTCTATAGCGTCGTTTTGAGGGAAGGAGTTGGAACAGTTTATGTCCGGGATGTGAGGGGTCATAAATTAAGCCAATAATTGATGTTAAGTCAGGCATTTGTTCAGGCACGGGATGATGGGATCGCAGGCAGGATGATGCAGTTTCCTTCGCTCAGCTGGGAGACTCCAACAGTCAGATTTAGGACTACCAGACCCATCTTGAAGGGCAGCTCGGTTTTTCTCTCTGCTAAATCTAAGAAACCTGCAGGAGGGGGAAGCTGGGGATGATGGGTGTCGGGAGTCCAGCGCAGCTGGAAAATGCAAAACCAGGGGAGTTTGACCGGGGGATGGGAGTTGGAGTGCATCCCTTAACAGGTCTAAAGAGATGGGCTATGCAGTCCAGCCTGCTGGGAAGCATGGGCTGCAGAATCAGCCGGGGGGGGGGGGGCGGGGGGGGGGGGGCTTTGCCATCCTCGCTTACCTTTATGAGAAGGGGAAACCCTCCTCCTGGCCGCACGCCCCGCACGTGCGAAGTGAGCATGTTGTGGGTCAGGAGTTTCATGGTGTTTTTTTTTCCCCCTCGGTCCGCCGAGCGAGCAAGGGAGGACACGTGCAGGGGGGGGGAAGGAAATCCCTTCCGGGCCGCTTCCGGTTTGGGTGTAAACAAACGCCGCCGGTTTCCGCTCATATCCGGCGCCCTTGTGCAACGCTCGCTTGGGTCCTCCCGGAAACGCGACCCGCGTGCAACACGGTCCCGGACGCTGTTTTGCCAAGCTCCAAAGGGTGGTGGTGGTTGTTTTTGGGGTGTGTTTCTTTTTGGCAAAGAGCGGGAGGATTCGCACTCGGGACCAGCGATGACTTAACATGGAATAGATTTTGCGAGTGGTTAGAGATAAGAGATAGAAATTAGATGAAGAAAGTTTATTGCTATGTATGAACTAAATATAAAGAGGGTTTATAATTATAAATATGCCAATATTTAACAGAACTACAACTAAGCCAATATAAAGAGAAGCCTAGTTAAAACTATTCTGTTACACTATTACTATTGTTATTAGTATATATGTTAATATTCCTTTTTGTTCTTTCTTTGCTTTTCTGTAAATGATATGCCCTGACAATACACTGTGTTCAAAATGTTACTTACATGTATGGTATTCAGCTTTGTTCGGGTATTTTCCCACGTCATTATAGTTGTGCTTTTAAAGTTGTAGCAACGTTTCGGCAGAATCTCATCTGCCATCATCAAGCTCGCACTGCTTGCACTGGCACAAAGCCGAAAGCACCAGCCTGAGGATGGCCAGTGGGACCTCACACACACACACACAAAATGATTTTGGCCCAGCAACTCACTCTCTCAGTCCAACCTACCTCAAAGGGTTGTTGTAGGGAAAAGATGAGGCTGAAGGAGCTTTATATACTGTTATGTTCGCCACCTTGAGTTATTTCTAAAAATAATAATAAAGGCAGGATAGAAATAAATTTTAAAAAAACTCAAGGAGCCAAACATAACAGTATATAAAGCTCTTTCTTCCTCCTATTTTCTCAACAACAACAACTCTGCAACCCTGCTTGGACCAATTTACCTTTTGCCCAGTGGATTCTGAAAAATAAAAAAAAAGCCAAATATACGTGCATGCTCGGCTGGAACAAACATCTTGCCCGTTGTTTTTTCTGACAGAAAATCCTCCATTTCTGACCACAACTGAGCCTTTGCAAGGCAAGTTGTTAAAGTGAGTTTTGCCACCTTGCTTGCTATACCATGGTTAAGTCAGTCACTGCAGTGATTAAGTTAGTTAGTCACATGGTTGTTAATGAATCTGGTTTCCCTGTTGATGTTGGTCAGGAGGTCACAAAAGTAATTGGATGACCCCCAGGACAATGCAACTGTCATAAATATGAGTCAAAATGCCAAGCGTCCAAAATTTGATCAGTGATCCTAAGTGTGAAAAAACAGTAAGTCACTTTTTTCAGTGCCGTACCTTCAAACGGTTGAACTGTCACTAAATGGATGGTTGTTAAGTTGAGGACTATCTGTAGCTGATCCTTATCCAACAGTACTGATAAGGTCCTGAAACTTTGGCAAGAAAACAACCAAGCTCATGATCTTGGGACTACAAGCCCCATCAGGCTGTACCTGCACAGGCTAGGAATGGGAGGATTTGACAAGATGCGAAGAGAAACATAATAAAATAAAACAAAAGAGGACCAAGCTGGCAATGATTTATGTATTCATTTATTATATCCCAGATAATGCAATTCCCAAACGGATGCAAAGCCTCGTCTGATCTATTGCAATTCCCACTTATGATTTCTTGCAAAGAAACATCATGTTTAAGAATATAATACAATAAAATAATTGCATTCCTAATTCCTCTTCCTCCCAGCCACCTCCCCCCCCCCCACGGGAAGCAAAACCTTCCACCCGCTTCGGGCCGCGTGCATCGTCGGGGGCGCGTAAGCAAGCAGGCCCCGGGCGGCGGAGCCGGGCCGAAACTTCAAAAGGTTGCGCGTTGCCATGGCTACTGTCACTCACGGGATTTCCATGGCAACGGGGTGGAACCGGACGGGGGCGCTGGGGCGAGCTTGTTGGGGAACCGGGGCGTCTTCCCTGCTTGCAAATCGCGGGGTGATCCGGCGGGCCTTTGCTTCGGGAGCCGCGGCCATGGCGGCCCTTAAGGTGAGTGCAACAAAATAAAAATAAAATAAAAATCCGTGCAAAGCGGCATTGCTGATTGTGCAATTGGCACGTTTTTGGGCGCGGGGTTGGCCTCCTGATTTGCAAACAGCTGGGTGCAACAACCCCCCGTGCAATGACCTCCAAAAGGGGTCACAGAAAGCGCCCTCCCTTTGCAAAGTCACCCCTCCCCCGTGCAAAGGGTCAGCGCTCTGTTAATCGTGCAATTTGCACGCTTGGTTGCCCCCCTCATCTGTCAACAGCTGGGTGCAACAACCCCCGTGCAATGACCTCCAAAGGGGGTCACAGAAAGCGCCCTCCCTTTGCAAAGTCACCCCCCCCCATGCAAAGGGTCAGCGCACTGTTAATCGTGCAATTTACACGCTTGGTTGCCCCCCTCATCTGTCAACAGCTGGGTGCAGGAACGCCCGTGCAATGACCTTGAACTAGACTTAGAAAGTGTCTTCCCTTGTAAAGTCACCCCTGTGAAAGGTGTCCGTTCAAAGGGACACTGCTAATGGTGCAATTTGCACGTTTTTTGGGGGGTGGGTGGGAGCTTTCCTCCTGATCGGTCAAAAGCTGGATGCAAGGACCCCCAAAGCAGGTGTGCTGATGGAGTGATAAATGATATGCATGCCATATTCGATATGATTTGATGAAATGCTAGCTAGGCTGTTGTATAACCTCTGTTGCAAACCTTGCCATAAGTTGGATACTCCGCATAGCTAAGCCATAAGTAGCTTCATTCCTTTCTTTCTTTCCCCCCTATTTTCCTCCCAAAAAACTGAGCCCGACTACGTAGTTTCGTAGTAAAGCACAGGTATTGAGTTAGTATTAATATATATAACTTATTCCATTCTCATGAACCAACCTATTTCAAAACATAACCCATAATTTATATACAGAGAGTCAACTTAACAACAGTTCTTTTATTGACCTGTTACAACAGCACTGAAAAAAGTGACTTATGACTGTTTTTCACACTTAAGTCCAGGACTAGCTGTAAAAAAGGAAAAGAGTGAAAAACAGAAGTAAGATTGCAATATCTTTTGCAACCTGATAGGCAAAGCATGCTGACTGGGGAATTCTGGGAATTGAAGTCCATTTTCTTTGTTTCCTTTTGACAGGTTGGGGACAAGCTTCCCAGCGTGGAGGTCTACGAGGGAGACCCTTCCAACAAAGTGAACCTGTCCAGCCTCTTCAAAGGGAAAAAGGGCATTCTTTTTGGGGTGCCCGGTGCCTTCACCCCCGGTTGTTCCAAAGTGAGTAAGAGCCTGCTTTTTAGAATCTGTCAGAATTGAAAATTTGAAAGGCGGAGGCAGCTTAGAGAGCACTATAAAACTTGAAACAAAGTTTTGAGAACTTTGCTAGAGGTAGTCCGTGACTTACAACGGGGTGTTCAGTGACTGTTGAAAGTTACACTGAAGAGAAGAGAGAATGGAATAGAGAAGAGAAGAGAAGAGAAGAGAAGAGAAGAGAAGAGAAGAGAAGAGAAGAGAAGAGAGAATGGAATATAGGATGGGATAGGGTAGAATAGAAATAATAAAATAAGAATAGAATAGAATATAAAGGAATAGAATAGAATAGAATAAATAGAATAGAATAGAATAGAAATAATAAAAGAATAGAATATAAAGGATAGAAATAATAGAATAAAATAGAATAAAGAATAGAATAGAAAATAGAATAAAATAGAATAGAAAGGATAGAAAGAATAAAATAGAATAGAAAGGATAGAAATAATAGAATAGAATTAGAATAGAAAAGGAATAAAATAGAGTATTATAGAATAGAGAATAGAATAGAAAATAAAATAGAAAATAGAATAAAATGGAAAATAGAATAGAAAAAAATAGAAAATAGAATAGAATTTGCAGCAAACAAGATTGTAAAACCGGGCACGATTACTTAACGACTGCATAGCTTAGCAACAGATGTTCCCGTCCCAATTGTGGTCATTAGAAGACTACCTGAACCTGTTTTCAGCTGTAATACTTAAAAGAGGGTACTGTAGAAAAGAAACTTTACAGGCAGTCCTCAACTTACGATGGTTCATTTAGTGACCTACAAAGTTACATTGGCATTGAAAAAAGTGACTTATGACCCTTTTTCACCCAACCGTTGGCAACGTCCCCATGGTCACCTATTCAAAATTCAGGCTGACTTGGCAACTGATTCATATTTAGGACGCAGTGTTCCAAGGTCTGACAAGCCAAGTCTAGGGGGAAGCCAGATTCATTTAACAACTGCAGTGTTTCTGTTAACAACGGTGGTTAAAACGGGGCGAAACTCGCTGGACAACTGTCTCTCTCTTGGCAAGACCAATTTTGGGCCCAATTGTGAGCGTAAGTCGAGGACTGACTGTCATTTTTTTGTCGTTTTGTGCCCGATGACAGACGCATCTGCCCGGCTATGTGGAGAAAGCAGGACAACTGAAGGGCAAAGGCGTTGAGATCATTGCTTGCTTGTCAGTCAACGATATCTTTGTGATGAACGAATGGGGAAAGGCTCACCAAGCTGAAGGAAAGGTAAAAAACAAAAGGGGGTGGGGGTTGGATAGGAGATTTTTTCTCCCCCCATACCCCTGTTTAATTTTTCCAAGCTGCAAAGCGTTGTGGAAGAAATGTACATCCATGTTTCTCAACCGTGGCCATTTTAAGAGATGCGGACTTCAATTCCCAGAATTCCCCAGGTGAGAATTCTGTGGCCAGCATATGCTGGGGGATTCTGGGAGTTGAAGTCCACCCATCTTAAAGCATGCAGGCTGGGGGATTCTGGGAGTTGAAGTCCATCCATCTTACACATGCTGGATGGGGGATTCTGGGAGTTGAAGTCCACCCATCTTAAAGCATGCTGGCTGGGGGGTTCTAGGAGTTGAACTCCACCCATCTTACACATTCTGGATGGGGAATTCTGGGAGTTGAAGTCCACCCATCTTACACATGCTGGATGGGGAATTCTGGGAGTTGAAGTCCATCCATCTTACACATGCTGGATAGGGGATTCTGGGAGCTGAAGTCCACCCATCTTAAAGCATGCTGGCTGGGGGATTCTGGGAGTTGAACTCCACCCATCTTACACATGCTGGATGGGGAATTCTGGGAGTTGAAGTCCATCCATCTTACACATGCTGGATGGGGAATTCTGGGAGTTGAAGTCCATCCATCTTAAAGCATGGTGGCTGGGGAATTCTGGGAGTTGAAGTCCACCCATTTTCAAGTTGCCACGTTTGAGCCACACCTTGTTTTGAAGACTTGAGTAACAACTGGGAAAGATCTAGAGAGCCTGAGATGGAAATACTTACCAACCAGATTATATTTCATTTTGCTCTTTGCAAGATTATGCAAGAGGCCTCTTGTTCCTCAGGTTTATATAACTGAATATGATTCATAATTCATCGTGCGGTCGCCAGATGTCACAGATGGGAAGATTCAGAGAAACGCTATCTTGGCAACTTGGTTTAAATCAACCTGCCCGCCCACCGACCCTCTCTTTTCGTTCTCTTTATGTACACATTCTGGAATTTATTTGCAGCAATATTTATTTCCTTCCTTCAGAGCAGGAACCCAACAGACGTCTACAAAAAGCACTGCCAAATTACAATTCTTCGTGTGCCAGAAAGGCAGAAAAAATATCTTTTCCTCCCATTTGCTTGATGTTTTTCAGAGATATTGGCTGCGACTTTCTTATTTCTCTGCTTCCCACCTGCGTTAGGGGGTTATAATGGTATGTGCGTATGGCCTTGGAGACGGGAGGAAAACCTGCAGACTTTTGGCTTTGCATGGTTCTGTCAAACCCAGCCGTGTAATACAGGTAGTCCTCGACTTACGACCACAAATCAGCCCCACCTTCCTGCTGCTAAGCGAGAGGGCTGTTAAGTGAGGTTTGCCCCATTTTTACGACCTTTCTGGCCACCGTTAGGTGAATCATTGCAGTGGTTAAATTAGTAACACTGTTGTTAAGTGAATCTGGTTTCCCTGTTGCACTTCGCTCATCAGAAGGGTCCCTTCTGAGCCTCTTGTCCTGCCTGTTATCCATCTGAGGGCTCGGCTATCTCTTATCTGACTGTTCCTGGTTCTTTGCTCCGTCTCCCAAGGTCTTTCTCTACCCCTCTGAACTCTTCCTAGATTTTCCTTCTCTTCCTGTACACCCCAAGACAGTCTAGGGAGGGTCCCTTCTGAACCTCTTTCTCCATCCATTATGTAGCTGAGGGCTCAACCTTCTCTTATCTAACCTTTCCCTTTGGTATTCTTTTCGTCCATCCCTCAAGGTCTTTCTCACACACTGTTACAGCCATCTCCTTTATAGCCCGAGAAACTAGGGAAGGTCCCTTCCGAACCTTTCCATTATGCAGGCAAGGGCTCGGCTGTTTCTTATTTGATGGTTCGCTTGACGGCATGTCTTCACTATGTCTCCCATGGTCTTTCTCCTTTACACCCTGAGAAACGAGGGAGGATTCTTCCAGATCTTTTTTCCCTGGCTGTTATCCATCTGAGGGCTCAGCTGTCTCTTTATCTGACCGTTTCCCTTGGCAGTGAGTGTTTCTTCGCCCGGTTTCCCCCCACCCCCGAGGTCCTTCCAACGCAACCATGAATATCCTCGTAATAGTAGTTGCAGTGGGGCCATGTCTCTGGAGTAGCTGGAGGCTCTTAGCTAGCCAACGTCTACGGAGATTAACGTCTTAATCTTCTAAGCATCTAGAGAGATTCTCGGTCATCCAAGGCCATGGTTGTTCCAAATGTGTATATTTCAGGAGGCCACTGGACCTTCTTTTTTTTCTTTTCTTTGGAAGACGTTTCGCTTCTCATCCAAGAAGCTTCTTCAGCTCTGACTGGATGGTGGGGAGTGGAAGAGTTTATACTCCTTGCAGGCAGCTGGTCATTTGCATCCTTTTTAGAGAGTCGTTGAGGCCACTTGGAGGTTTATCTGTGTCCTCAGGATCACCTGAGTGGTGCAATGGAGTCTTCTTGGACGGTGGTGTAGACTGAAGATATCCCTCCCAATCTGTTGAAACGGGGCTGTTCTCCTTAGAACAAAGGCGAAATTTCCTGACAGTCAGAACAATTATAATCAGTGGAGCAGCTTGCCTCCAGAAGTTGTAAAAATCCTCCAACACTGGAAGTTTTTAAGAAGAGATTTGTCTGAAGTGGGATAGGATTTCCTTCCTAAGCAGGGGGTTGGACTAGAAGACCTCCAAGGTCCCTTCCAATTGTCTGTTCTGTTCTGTTGTTCTG